ACACGTTGTGATGTGCACTGGGTGTTATACGTAACTAATGAATCACTGAACACTACATCAAAAACTAATGATGTGCTATACAGTAGCTAACTGAACATAATAATAAAAAAATGAATTCATACACTACATTCATGATATGGATATATGTTTATATAACCTACCCCACCAAATCTGGCTTTAAAATATCTTCCTATTGTAAAGAATATCAGCACCCGGTCCAAGACATTTAAGTTGCTTACCTAAAAGCCTCAATTTGAAAACTCCTCTCTATGGGGCTTACTCTAAGTCAACAGATACGAGGCCTTCACACTTCCAGTTTTGACTATCTGTTCTACAGTTAGTCATTCATTACTAAGTATAAATATCAAACAAATAACAGCAATACAGTGAAAACCAAAGGTAGCGTGTATTTCAACTGCTAATGGTAATTCAGACTGGCAATGTATATGAAAACCACCTAGATTTTAGAGGTATCTTTTAAGCAAACAAAATTCACTCTTCAAAAAGAGCTCAATACAAGCATACCTTGTTTTACTGTGCTTCGCAGATACTGTGTTTTTTACAAATCCAAAGTTTGTGGCCACCCTGCACTGGGCAAGTTTATTGGTACCATTTTTCCAACAGCATTTGCTCACTGCATAGCTCTATGTCACATTTTGGGGATTCTCGCGATAATTCAAACTTTGTTATTACTGTGGTGATCTGTGATCAGCAGTCTTTGATGTTACTACTGTCATTGTTCTGAGATGCCATGAACCACACCCATAAAAGATAGAGAACTTAACTGATAAATACTGTGTGTGTTCTGACTCTCTACCAATGGGCCGTTCCCCCATCTCTCTCCTTCTCCCGGAGCCTCCCTAGTCCCCGAGACACAACAATACTGAAATGAGGCCACAATAACTGTACAATGGCCTCTAAGTGTTTAAGTGAGAGGAAGAGTCACATATCTCTCACTTTAAATCAAAAGCTAGAAATGATTAAGCTCGGTGAGGAAGGCATGTCAAAAGCTGAGACAGGTTGAAAGCTAGGCCTTTTGTACCAAGCAGTTAGCCAAGTTGTGAATGCAAAGAGAAAGTTCTTGAAGGGAATGAAAAGTACTACTCTAATGATCCCATGAATGACAAGAAAGCAAAACAGTCATATTGCCAACATGGAGAAAGTTTGAGCAGTCTGGACCAAAGATCAAACCAGCCACAACATTCCTTTAAGCCAAAGTCTAATCCAGAGCCAGGTCCTGACTCTCTTCAGTTCTGTGAAGGAAATTCGGCTGGCAGAGGTTGGTTCACGAGGTTTAACGAAAGAAACCATCTCTGTAACACCAAGTGCCAGGTGAAGCAGCAAGTGCTGTTGGAGAAGGTGCAGCAAGTTCTTCAGACTGGGAGAGTTAATGAAGGTGGCTGCAAATAACAACAGATTTTCAATGTAGATGAAGCAGCCTTCAATTGGAAGAGGATGCCATCTAGGACTTCCATAGCTGGAGAGGAGAAGTCAATGCCTGCCTTCAAAGCACAGGCTGACTGACTCTCTTGTTAGGGGCCAAAGCAGCTGCTGACTTGAAGTTGAAGCCAATGCTCATTCACCTTTCTGAAAATCCTCAGGCCCTTACGAATGATGCTAGATCTACTCTGCCTGTGCTCTATAAATGGAACAACAAAGCCTAGATGACAGCACATCTGTTTACAACGTGGTTTGCTGAATATTTTAAGCCCACTGTCGAGACCTACTGCTCAGGAGAAAAGATTCCTTTCAAAATATGACTGCTCACTGACAATGAACCTGGTCTCCCAAGAGCTGGTGGAGATGGACAACAAGATATATGTTGTTTTCATCCCTGCTGACACAACATCCGTTCTGCAGCCCATGGATCAAGGAGTCATTTCAACTTTCAAGTCTTATTATTTAAGAAATGCATTTTGTAAGGCTAGAGTAAGTAGAGAAATGCATTTTGTAAGGCCATAGATAGTGATTCCTCTGGTGTATCTGGGCAAAGCAAATTGGAAATCTTCCAGAAAGAACTCACCATTCTAGATTCCACTAAGAACATTCATGATTCATGGGAAGAGGTCAAAATATCAACATGAACAGGAGTTTGGAAGAAGTCGATTCCTACCCTCATGGATGACTTTGAGGGGTTCAGGACGTCAGTGGAGGAAGTCACCGCAGGTGTGGTGGAAACAGCAAGAGAACTAGAGTTAGAGGTGGAGGCTGAAGATGGGACTGAGCTGCTGCCATCTCATGATCAAACCTCGTGAGGAGAGGCTTGTTGTGCATGAGCAAAGAAAGTGGTTTCCAGAGACGGAAGCTTCTCCTGGTGATGATGCTGCAAAGACTGTTGGAATGACAATGAAGGATTCAGAATAGTACATAAACTTAGTTGATCAAGCAGCGGCAGGGTCTGAGAGGATGGACCCCAATTCTGAAAGAAGTTCTACTGTGGGTAAAATGCTATCAAACAGCATCACAAGCTACAGGGAAATCATTCATGAAAGTCAGAGTCAACGGATGAAGCAAACTTCATTACTGTCTTATTTTAAGAACTTGCCACAGCCACCCCACCTTCAGCAGCCAGCACCCTGATCAGTCAGCAGCCAGGAACATGGATGCAAGACCCTCCGCCAGCAGAAAGATCGCCACTTGCTGGAAACTCAGATGATGGTTAGCATTGTTCAGCAATGAAGTATTTTTTAAAATATTTATTTATGTTAGAGAAAGAGAGTGCGTGGGAGCACGAGAGGGAAGGGCAGAGGGAGAGGGAGAGAAAATGTCAAGCAGACTCCACACTGAGCACAGAGCCCGATGCAGGGTTCGATCCCAGGACCCTGAGCTGAAACCAAGAGTCGGACACCCAACTGACTGTGCCACCCGGGCGCCCCAGCAATGACGTATTTTTTAATTAAGGTACATAATTTTTCTAGACATATGCCATTACACACTTAACAGACTACAGTATAATGTAAACATAAGCTGGGAAACCAAAAAATTCCTTTGACTCACTTGACTGCAGTATCTGCTTTACGGCAGTGGTCTGGAACCAAACCCACAATATCTGAGGCCTGTACATTCTATGTTAAGGAAGACTTATATAAACTGCATTTCCCAAGCAGAATTACCTAGGAGAATAATTAGAATTGTAGCAAAATGCATTTACTCAGAAAAGTGGTATCAAACAAAGAACATCTATCAACAGAGTTTACTCCCAGCTAGGAAAAAAAGAAGGGAGGTTTTCGTATCTGCAAAGAAATACACAACCAATTTAAAGCAAATGACTCAGACAGATGCAGGAAGATAAGTCAAAATAAAGTGGCTAAAAAGAAAATCCCAAATGTCTCAGAGGCTCTTTCTCTAGTTAGCTATCAAAGGCTGGACAAGGATCATTACTATACCCACAAGAGGGAAGTGGGGCAGAGGACAATCACAGCTACTTTACATTTCTTTGAAGACCCAGGATCTCTTTTTCATGCCCCGCTTTCAGAAATAACAAAACACTGATACCAGAAGGTAACCACGGCTTTCAGAATACAGTTCATGAGGGGCACCTGGGTGGCACAGTCTGATAAGTGTCCAATTCTTGATTTCGGCTCAGGTGGTGATCTCAGGTCCTGCATTGGGCTCCGTGCTCAGTTTGAGATTCTTTCTCCCTCTTCCTCTGCTCCTCCCACTCATGCTCTCTCTCTCAAATAAATAATAAAATAAATCTTAAAAAAAAAAAAAAAAAAGAGCATACAGTTCATGAGACTACTGACAGTTGCCATCCTGCCTCATTCCCTGCTCAGGACACCATCACTGTGACTGGGATCCTGGATCCACATCTTATTAACTGTGTGACCCTGAGCAGGTCACAGTCTCTCTGAGCCTCACTTTCCTGAGCTGTAAAATGGGATGATAATAGCTACTTTTAAAGGGTTCATGTGAGGATTAAAGATAATGTTCGTAAAGCACCTCACAGTCTCTGACATATGATAGGTGCTGCAAATGTTAGTTACTGTTATCAGCAACAATATCCCAAATACCATTCAGGTCCATTTCATCCACACACACAAAAAACTGTTTTATGATTTACTAATTACCGGCTTTGTAAATCATTTTGGTTTTGCTTAAGAAGGGTAATATTAAAAAACAGAAAGAAATGATAAGGTACCCATACCTTCCTACCTATAAGACTGAATCAGGTTACTGGCCCAGGAAGTTTATCTCCCATGTAGATACTCCTACCTCTTATACGTCACTAAGATCTTAAGCTTGGTCAGAAAAGAGTGAGCCATGATATTATCCTATCATGTGGTACTATCAAACATAAAAGGGAATTTTTTGACTATAAGCCCAAGAAATAAAGAATATCAGCATAACTCGTTCCAATGAAAACAAAAAAAATATGAACTTCCACACCCTGATTTACCTGGATTTGTTTCATCTCTCAAGTGTTCAAGGAGGGAAAAAAACACATTTCAAGATATGAAGCTTTAAGCAGACCTAATTTTTAAAGCAATAACTTCCAGAGTACATTCTACAACCAGAACAAAGTCACTATAACCCCTTTTATTTTATATATTTGTACCTTTTTTTTTTTTTTAAATTAGGCTCCATGCACAGCATAGAGCCCAATGTGGGGCTAAACTCATGACCTTGAGATCAAGACCTGAGCTGAGATCAAGAGTCGGATGCTTAACCAACTGAGCCACCCAGGCACCCCTATATATTTATACTTTTAAACTGAGATCCAATGTCACACACACAACTCTGAGTCACTCTAAGAACCAACAAATCATAATTGTGTTTCCAGAGCTGAACTGAGGCAGAAAAGGTTAGTGGTATATTTTGGAAATAATTTCTATACTTTAAAACTATTTCCTGTCCAATCCTCTGTTAATCAGACATGAAATTAACTATAAGTAACTCTTTTCCAAAAAATCATATTAACCAAGAATTTAATGTATTCCTAGAGGGCTTTGAATTTCTCATTCCTAAAAGTGATGTACAGATACAAACATAAAACTCACTCAGATTTGCTGTCATGGATTCTAAATCTGCTAATAAGCCGGGAAGCTGTTGGAGCTGCTCCTGTAATTCGACGAGGCTCGTCCTCTTCTTTTCCCAGTGTGCTGAAAGCATAACCACCTCGCTGTCCACCAGCTGCAACACAGAGAAGCAAGGGTAAGGTAAAAACAGATTTCAGGCACAAGGAAATGACAGTTGGCAGAATGAGAGTTACTCACTGTTATCTTTAAAACCCCTCTACTGAGTATCCACAACAGGACACCCCAGAGAAAACTGGAGTTGTTTTCTTTCTTAGAAAAGTACCAACTTAACATTCAGGGCAGAAAACCTCAAATTACTGCTTGTCTCACTGCATCTTAACTCAGATAAGAGAAAGTTCAGAACTGACCTTAGAAATCACTTCTAACTATACCCTGTTTTTAAGTAAACCATGTATTTGAAAATCCAAATCTAGAAAAAATAAATCAAAAACCCAAAACTAACAACTGAAAAGAAAACAAAAACAACCCAAACCACAATTACCAGGTAATTATTTGCCTTACAAAAGGACTTTTTTGAACAGAAAAGTTACTGAACGCATGTAGAATATATACGATTCAATTTATATTTAAACAGGAACACAGTGCATAAAGTAAGGTAAACAGTACTTGTACGTGAAAGAATTAAGGCAAGTGATGGATTCCGGAAAAAAGGAAAATAGCACTTATGTTAACAAAGAAGGAATTCAGCTGTAAAGGGCTCCTAATAGCAGGGCTGTGATATACTAGACTGGCCTGAAGGAATGCTAACTTCTTTTACTGAAGACTGTAGAGAAAATGACAGACATCAGTTTCTCCCAGACAATTTTGTTTTGGTCTTAACATGGTGGGAGGGAAAGGGCTTAGAATAAGATTTAGAAGGAGCAGGGAGAGGTCATCTTTTGAAAACACCACCAATGATAAGCAAGAATTATGAAAGATAACCACAGTAATACAATAAATACAAAGACTGCAAAATTCATTATATAACAGAAGAAAATGCATTTGAATTTTACCTGTAAATCAGAGTTCACAGTTAAGTTTAAAAAAAAAAAAAGACATTTTACATATTCCAAGATGAAGATTTTTCTGGAGTTAGAACATGAATACCACAAATTCTTTTTTTAAGACTTTTTTAAAAGATTTTATTTATTTGAGAGAGTGAGAGAGTGCGTGCACATGAGCATGGGGGCAGGGGCAGAGGAACAAGCAGACTCCCTGATGAGCGCAGAGCCCCATGCAGGGCTTGATCCCAAGACCCCGAGATCATGACCTGAGCCAGAATCAAGAGTCAGATGCTTAACTGAGCCACCTAGGCACCCCTGAATACAACAAATTCTTTTTTTTTTTTTTTTAAAGATTTTATTTATTTATTTGAGAGAGAGAATGAGAGACAGAGAGCACGACAGGGATGAGGGCAGAGGGAGAAGCAGACCCCCTGCTGAGCAGGGAGCCCGATGAGGGACTTGATCCCGGGACTCCAGGATCATGACCTGAGCCGAAGGCAGTTGCTTAACCAACTGAGCCACCCAGGCGCCCCAACAAATTCTTACTGAATCCCACTAAGGTAACAAAGGACTTTAGAGAAATAAAAATATCAAAATTAGATGCAAAATTATTTGTATGTGGTTCTAGATTGCTTCGGTTTCTACATTTTAATATTCTAGAAATTCCCAACATGGCAACAAAAGAACTAAGCTCTGACAGAGAGGTTAAAATACGCCTGGTTTCCTTACGGTGTCCCCTGGTTCGCACACCTCCCCACTGCTTTCCAGCCCACACTGGAGAGAAGACCACATCACCTCTCCTGGACAAGCCTCCGCTGAGCTGGAGAGGTGACACCAAGCTTTACTCAAGCTGCACTGCTCATTAATTTTGTATACTTAAAAACACCTATTGCCAACCAGTTTTATAAAGATGCCTAAGAGTAGTTTAAGAAATGCTGAGCAACGCTGACATATCTAGCTGTGCAATAATAAGGAAATTAAGGCTTGACACAAGGATCTGCATTCATAAAATTCATCTGTACAAACTTCTGCTGACCACTCCCTGTCTGCCAGGCACTGTTTAGGCTATGGAGATGTAATGGTGAATGAAACAAAACAAATCCTGCCCACTTCGTGTTTATAGCCTCGCAGCAGTCTCCCAAATTCTCTTAGCTTCAGTTTTTAAACTCTAAAAAAGAAAAAATAATTCCTATATCACAAGGGCTGATTTGAGGATAAATAAAATCTATTTTTCCTGATATATATATTTTTTTATAAAGTCAGTTAAATCTTAACTACCCTGGTTAATTAGGTTAATTAGAAAAATCAAGAGCAATTTTTTGATATTAACCATTTCTTACTGAAAATTAAAGTGCAATATCAGTATTATAACAACTGCAATCTAGTTCATGACTTCCACAAAACTGAAAATTATACTCTCAATACAGGATAGACGAAGCATACACAGAAAAATAAAAGAATACATTAAAATGCCATTTTTATTTAAAAGAATGAGAGAATGAATGGATTCTCAGAATCATTATCGATAATTATGCAATAATACTAAAAACATTTTGAGCATTTTCTATGTGCCAAGCCCTGTGCTAAGCAATTTATATATATTATCTTGTTTAGACCACTTCTACCACCTCCATTTTACAGATGAAGACCCTAAGGTGTAATGAAGTTATGTCTCTTTCCCAAGGGCCACAGTGGACTGACATCAATCCCACGGAATTTGACACTCAAGTCCAGGCCCTCAATCAGTATTCTAGGGATTGTGCTACAGGGGTGTGTGAAAGGAAGAAGTGAGAAGCTAGCAGAAAAAAACGTTCTAAAACACTATACTTAAACTTTACTTAATAAGAAATGATCTATCACAAAAAGGCCAATTTTTCCGCCTCTAAATAAACAATTGTGAATAAAGCCAGCAAATACCAGGAAATCAAATTTAAGCAGTTAAGACAAACCCACAGCGCTTCATTCCAAAATTCCTTCTGGTGGACACTGCAGCAGGAGCATGAAGACAAAAGATGCTGAATACCAAACTCAACAGTTCAATGCTTTGGGGTACTTAATTTCATGTGATTTCCAAACAACTTCGTATGGTAAGCAGGGTAGGTGTTGTTATGCCATTTTATAGACGGGGAAACTAACAACAGAGAAACTAAGTTAAATGCTAGAACTCATATAGGAATTCAGCAAAGTGGCAGGATATAAAATCAATGCACAGAAATCAGTTGCATTTCTATACACTAACAATGAGACAGAAGAAAGAGAAATAAGGAATTGATCCCATTTACAATTGCACCAAACACCATAAGATACCTAGGAATCAATCTAACCAAAGAGGCAAAGGATCTGTACTCTGAAAACTATAGAACACGCATCAAAGAAATTGAAGAAGAAAGAAATGGAAAAATGTTCCATGTTCATGGATTGGAAGAACAAATATTGTTGAAATGTCTATGCTACCCAGAGCAATCTATACATTCAATGCAATCCCTATCAAAATACCATCAACATTTTTCAGAGCTGGAACAAATAATCCTAAAATTTGTATGGAACCAGAAAGGATCCTGAATAGCCAAAGTAAAGTTGAAAAAGAAAACCAAAGCTGGAGGCATCACAGTTCTGGACTTCAAGTTCTATTACAAAGCTGTCATCATCAAGACAGCATGGTACTGGCATAAAAACAGACACATAATCAATGGAACAGAACAGAGAGCCCAGAAATGGATGCTGAACTCTATGGTCAACTCATCTTCAACAAAGCAGGAAAGAATGTACAATGGAAAAAAGACAGTCTCTTCAATGAGTGGTACTGGGGAAATTGGACAGGCACATGCAGAAGAATGAAACTGGACCATTTCCTTACACCATACACAAAAATAGACTCAAAATGAATGAAAGACCTAAATGTGAGACAGGAATTCATCAAAATCCTTGAGAACACAGGCAGCAACCTCT